GGAAGGAAGGAAGGAAGGAAGGAAGGAAGGAAGGAAGGAAGGAAGGAAGGAAGGAAGAAAAAACATGTGAAGCAGAAACCACCTGGCAAGTGGCAGTCTTGCTTAGGATGTGACCATTTCAGTGGGATTTCATATTTTTACTTCCACACAAAGAGAGAGTATAAACAGGATGGACTGATGTGATCCAGTGGTTTTGACAATATGGAAATCTCTTTTGTGTGGTCAGTGCCTGGCAGCTACTCATACAAATTGAGATATAACTGTTCTGAGAATTACTTGGGCCCCCCTTCATGTATGGCATGTTCTCAGGGCTCACAGAACCACTGCTGTCTAGAGGCTCTGAAGGTGATTCTGATGTGCTAGCAGCCAGTTAGGACTCTTGATCTTGGGGTTGTGGATTCAAGCCCCACTCGGGGTGTAGAGATTACTTAAGAAAAGGTTAAAAAAAAAAAAGAACCTCAAGTCTTGATTGTGGTTTTCAACCTATGGCCCAGAGGGGTGAATTATTTAGGACTGGCTGATTTATACTGACTTAGTGATTGGCACTTTTGAAGACTCTCAACGAATGACCTCAACTATAGGTAGCTACACTTGATCAGTGTCATGGACCCCGAGAAGATTCTGCAGCCTCACATCCTCTTCAACCATCTCCTTGCAGATTATTTGCCTTTCCAGATTCTTCAATCATTAGTATCATTCAAATTGTCTCAAGACATACGTCTCAATGAATTATACTGTAAGAAGAGTTTCAGGACTCTCATTTGTTATTCATCCTAGAAATCTCACAGTTATGTGGTGTATAATTTAAAATTGTGAACATTATATCTACATATGAAATATAAATGTTTCAACTTCCACTAAATATAGGGTTTCTATTTTTAGACAGATTTATTCCAGTTGCTTATCAAGCTAATGTATTTTGTTTGCATTTTGGGATTATCCTATTTAGGTTAAGCTAATAGAATACAATAAAAAGGTTTATGTTTGCAAAATGCTTTATGAACAGTGAATAACATCCTCAAATTAGAGCTGAGATCATTCAGTCCACCTCTCTCATTTTGCAGGTGGGAAACTGCAACCCAGGGTAAAAATGAGAATTGCCCAAGACTATGTGCTTTCTTTTTATAAAATTTGTGCCAAAATAGATTTTTCTTTTCTTTTTTTAAAAAAGGTTTTATTTATTTATTTGTCAGAGACAGAGAGAGCGAGCACAAGCAGGGGGAGTGGCAGGCAGAGGGAGAGGGAGAAGCAGGCTCCCTGCTGAGCAAGGAGCCCAATGTGGGACTCGATCCCAGGGCCCCAGGATCATGACCTGAGCTGAAGGCAGACACTTAACTGAGCCACCCAGGCGTCCCAAACTAGACTTTTCTTAACCCAATTTAGCTCAGTATTTAGTGTGCAGGGTACAGGTACCATGCTGGTCTAGCTCAGACATACGCTACTTAGCTTGGTATCATACCTATATATAGGCAGTTATTTTATTATATGCTTCCTAATGGCTAGGACACATTAGATTATAAAAATCCCCAGAAAAACCTGAGAAGGGCATAAAGTAGGGAGTTAGGTGAGTTGATTTAGGAATTCTGCCTGTCCCCTCCATGTCTACCAGGAGGGATTTAGGAGAAGCAGTCCCACCAGCCATGCGAGGGGGTTGACCCGTGCTCATGCACTAATCCCTCTGCAGTAGGCTTGAAGAAGTCAGACCAGCAAGCCTCAGGGCTGGGCGTCAAAGCGATTTCAATGAAACAACAAAGGGTTGAAGAATCCACATGCAAGAGGGTGGGGAATAGCTCTATATGAGTTCTAAAGATAAAACAATACTTTACCTACTTACTCTAGACCTGAGCTGACAGGCTAGGTAGACAGAAAAGAATTAGTGAATTGATGTCACTTAAAGGCGAACCCACAGAGGTCTGAGAGAACAACTCACCTTTCTTTCTGAGAAAACAGATGGCCGTGGGCTAGATGCATCTTGAACAAGGTCAATAAACATGGGGTCAAATTGGGTCATCTCATTTTTACACCTGCAGTTGGAGGGCATGGAAGACCCAACTGCAGGCACATGCTAAAAAGGGGGCTTGACAGAATCTTAATAAATCGGCTCCAATTAGGGAAGTGTACACGTCCCTTGGTTTAGCCTTAACACTGTCACGAAGATCAAATCAACACGTGTGCAAAACTCTACTAAACTCAGGCCTCCGAGCCACCTAGGTGGGGTTCCTAGAAAACAGAAACGAATGATATTTCAAAGGAGAGCTGTCCGACCATTGCTAACCTTTAATCGTGCCACAAAGTGCGTTGCGACACTGAGTTCAGAGGCGGGGTTCCCGAGGATGATCTCAAAGCGGTACTGCAGCCCCAGCTTGTCGCGCACCTCCTGCAGCCTCTCCTTGGCTAACATTGCCAACTGCACGGAGGGCACCCTGATAATGAGCATGTGTCCCCTCCCACTTCTCGTCTTTCCTGGGGAGCTGATGAGGTCATCCATAATGCTGAGTGTTTCCGGTGTGCTGTGGTCTCGGAGGGACGCCATGGTGGTGAGAGCCATCAGAGCCTCTGAGTACTGCTGGATGAGAAGGTAGCAGCGGACGACCATGCTGTGCAGCCTGGGGTACCTTCAACAGAACACAGGGAGCTAGAACTTGGGCAGCAGGACCAGCTGGCACAGTAAGGTCTCTGTGGGAGGAATGCAGACCCAGCATGGTGGGAAGGGGTTACCGATCAGGGTTGGGCTGGAGCCCTAGTATGAACTTGGGGCCCACATCGTTAGAAGGAAAAGTAGAGCCTTCAACTCCTGTGAGTCAGAAACTGTTGGGATACGTACAGCAAGTTAAAGAGGTTTGGGGATGGTCTAGCGACCCTAGCTTCTCTGAGTGTGGTCTGTGGACCAGTAGCAGCACCACTTGGGAGCCTGTTAGAAATGCCAAATTCCCCCACCCCAGATACCTGAATCAGAACTCATAGCCTGACAAGACCCCCAGGTGATTTGTATGCACATTAACTTTTGAGAAGCACTGATCTAGTCAGGTTATTTGTTGACAGAGTCATAATGGAGCATCCCTGGATCCTAACCTCTTATTGGTGGCACTTAGTTAGAATGGTGGTTTTGTCAGCTTATTTCTCTGATACTTAAAACTACAGTAAAGAAAATTGAGACATTAGTATCATGTTTGCAAAGTAGCAGACAGAAAAAGAATAATTATTATTACTAATAATTACTAATTTGACGGTAGCCCCACAGACAGCAAGTGTATCTTCCCATAAAATGTGCCTTGGTGCAGGAGAAAACTTGGAGCTGACTGGAGAAATAGCACCCCCTAGTGGCGTAGCCTCCTATCACCCGAGCCCTGCTTAGTCAACAGAGCCTGGCAAATAGGGGTGTCCTTGCCTCATCCCAACACCCACTGGTACTCCACCCCCACCCCGCCTGGACTGCCAAGTAAGAGGATCACTTTGTTCAAATTGGCACTTTTTACAGCTACAGAGCAGGCAGGAAATTTATTTATGAATTATTTGTGAGTTACTCCTCAGAAAGCCGGGCCTGCTGGCAAAGTGAGTACAAATGGGCAAAGAGGACCCCTTTGCAGGCACAAGGAGGTGCTGGTCAAGAAAAGAGGTGCTGGCAAAATGAGGATGAGCCTGTGAACTTTCTTTCTGGTTGTCAGCTGGTAGCACAGGCAGCAGCCTAGCAGCTGGGTAGGCCATGGGGTGGTTTGCCTTTGTTCTACTTTATAATTCTATTTAAAGTAAAACAAGTGGTCTGCCAGCCTTGCACAGGGTCAAATACCAGTTAGGGTCATCAAATGAATAGTATGCTTTTGAAGTACTTCAGAGTTGGAAAGGACCGTGGATGCCCTGGATTTGACCACTCCCGCTCCTACCAGAAGGAGAGTGAGTTAAGCGGCTGAGAGAAACCTGGCTACCTGCCCAGGATCATGCAACCGGTTGGTCAGGGACAGAGCTGGGTCTGGAGTCATTCAGGTCTCTGATAATGTCTCCTTGCATTGCAAGGATTTAGTAGGTTGGGGAAAAGTGAAGAAATCCTTCAGTTCACTCAATCCTGGGCCGGTTCTTCAAACGCTCAGTAAATCACAGCTATTACTAGCTTGAGTGACTGGGTTGGAAGAAGTGAGCACACAAGATCCTTGTTTAAAGCTTAATGTTTTTTGATGGGTCAGGTAGGTAAGCCAAAGTTAGAACACATGGTAACTTTGATCTACAGGCATTTAGATCTCACACTCTGAAAGAAGTATGAATTTAGAAGGCAACAGTCTTCACAACCTGTTCTGTTTGCACTGAACTGTAATTGTTTGTCGTATTTTAAGTATTACCAAAGTTGTAAGAGAAGTTAACAGGATTGACTCTGGGAATGATGGTATCGGAGGGAGGGAACGTTCCAAGCTGGTGGATGCAGCAGGTGGGTGGGAAACCCTTAAAAGGGAGACTCATGGGATGATTTTGGAAACGTTAGGATCACATGTGCTGTGGCAGGATTAATGTCACAGTGTCCGTTAAGTCTTCTTAAATCCAACAGCTGCAAAAATATAAAATCCTACTCTGAGGCTTCTCCTTTTGTTGATGCAGCATAATAACTCACTGGTAGGGTACAGCCACCCATCCTCATTTTTATTTCTCTTTCTTTTTTCCTAGCAAAGTTATAGAACAGGTTGTTAAACAGGTGGCTTGTGGTCAACTGGAGCCAATTTGAAGAACAAGAGCTACTAAAAATTAGAATGTGCCTCTTCAAAAAGAGTACACTTGCCCCCATCACTGGAAGGTCAGACAGACTATTGCAGCCGAGGGCAGGGAGGGCCCTCTACCAGGTTAGGTAAATTCCAGTGCCTCTGTGATGCTTTGAGTCTATGCTTCAAGATCAGAGAGAAAAAAACAGGAAAACCCTTTACTTTCCTGGAGTTTGACCAGAACTTGGAGAATAAAAAGAAAGCATAGGAGACAGAAAAGTTATGATCTTTATCTCCCAAGGTCAGGGATTGGAGGAGGCACATTAGGAACTGAACTCACTTCTGTGATCTAATTGCTCCTAATTTTCTCCAGTCTACACTCCAAATCTCTCATAGTAAAGTTCAGTTTCTACTGAGTCATCTAAGGGTACTTGCCTATGGTGGATAGAGGGGAAAAGAGAAAAAGAAGAAGTGTAGGACATACGGTGGGGAGGCCACCCCTCAGAGAAATGGTCTTTAATCAGCAAATTCCTCCGTCCATCTAATCCCCTGGTGGTAGCAGTAAAGCGTGCTTGGGAGATGATTCAGAGCATGGCAAGTGGTTCTAAGTCCCACTCTGGGTCCCTAGTTTCCTTTGTTAGTCTTGGATGATCACAGAAAACCTATACGAGTAAAAGGTCATCTTAGGAGAGGCTATTCTTATTCTGCCTTTGCATGTCATCTGCACAGCCGGAGCTCCACAGAACTCCCTGTGACAGTGACACAAGAGACTTTTGGCTATTTTAGACACACAAGTACAGCTAAAGTAAAAGCTGAAGGTCCTTACTTACCTTTCCAAGAGCGTGTTCACCATTTTTTCAAAAGTCTCATCACATCTCAGAAGGGGGCTTGTGATGCCCCACTGTAGAGACTTACTGTATTCATTCAAGCCGAAATACAGCTTCTCCTCGCAGCTCATGTCCTCCTGATTCAAAACAGAGCCAAACCCAGTGAGGAGAGGATACAATGTGTCTTGTTTTCTAGGGGTGGGGGAAAATCCCTGCAATATGTTATTTGCTAGAAGGTGAAAAAATTGTGAATAAACAAGTGGGACTACATCAAACTAAAAAGCTTCTGCACAGCAAAAGAAGCCTCAACAAATTGAAAAGACAACCTACAGTACAGGAGAAATATTTGCAAATCATATATCTGATAAGGGGTTAATATCCAAAATATATTTTTTATTTTATTTTATTATTTTTTTTAAAGATTTTTATTTATTTAACAGAGAGAGACACAGTGAGAGAGGGAACACAAGCAGGGGGAGTGGGAGAGGGAGAAGCAGGCTTCCCGCGGAGCAGGGAGCCCGATGTGGGGCTCGAACCCAAGACCCTGGGATCATGACCTGAGCCGAAGGCAGACACTTAACGACTGAGCCACCCAGGCGCCCCCAAAATATATTTTTTAAAAACTCACATAACTCAACAGCAAAAAATCCAAACAATCAAAAACAGATTGAGGAACTGAACAGACATTTTTCCAAAGAAGACATACAAATGGCCAACAGGTACATGGACATGTGCTCAACACAGCTAATCATCAGGGAAATGCAAATCAGAGTAAGGATCTAATGTAGAAGATGGTGACTATTATAATGGAATATCACCCAAACACCTGTTATATTTTTTTTCAAGTGATCTCTAGGCCCTATGTGAACTTGAATTCATAACCCCAAGATCAGGAGTCACAGGCTCCAATGACTGAGCCAGCCAGGCACCCACCTCACACCTGTTAGAATAGCTGCTCTCAAAAGGAAAAAAGATAACAAATGTTGGCAAGGATGTGGAGAAAAGTGAACCCTTATGTTTGTTGGTGGGAGTGTAAATTGGTACAGCCACTGTAGGAAACAATATGGAGGCCCCTCAACAAAATTAAAAATGCAGTAATTTCACTTCTGGGTTTATCTAAAGGAAATGCAAATGAGATATAGAAGAGATAAATGCACTCCCATGTTCATTGAGCATTATTCACAATAGCCAGGAAATGGAAGCAACCAAGTGTCTGTCAACGGATGAACAGATAAAGAAGATGTAGTATGTATATGTATATGTCCACACAATGGAATATTATTCAGCCACGAGAAAGAAGGAAATCCTGCCATTTGTGACAATGTAGATGGACCTTGAAGACATTATGCTAAGTGAAATCAGTTAAGAGAGAAAGACAAATACTGCATGGTTTCACTCATATGAGGAATCTTAAAAAAAAAGTCGTCAAACTCATAGAAGCAGGAAGTAGAATAGTGGCTGCCAGGAGTGGGGGGTGAGGGAAATAGGGGATGGGGGTCAAGGAGGCACTAGTGGTGATGAGGACGGGGTGATGTATGAAAGCGTTAATCACTATATTGGACACCTGAAACTAATATAACACTGTAGGTTAACTGGAATGAAAATAAAAACTAAAAAAACATAAAAAAATAACGAGGCTTTGCCATTTGCAACAACATAGATGAAACTAGAGGGTATAAGGCTAAGTGAGATAAGTCACACAGAGAAAGACAAATGCCATATGATTTCACACATGTGGAATCTAAAAAACAAAATAAATGAACAAACAGACAAAAAACAGACTGTTAAATATAGAGAGCAAAAATAAATATATCAAGTAAGCAAGCAAACTGGTGGTTGCCTGGGGGGAGGGGGATGGAAGGGTGGGTGAAGTAGATAAAAGGAATTAAGCGGCACAAACTTCCAGTTACAAAATAAGTAAGTCACAGACATGAAAAGTACAGCATAGGGAATACAGTCAATAATCTTGTAATAAGGTTGCTTGGTAACAGACGGTGACTACACTTATCATGGTGAGCAGTGAGTAATGTATAGAATTGTTGAATCATGATGTTGTACATCTGAAACTAACATAACACTGTATGTTAATTATACTTCAATTAAAAATACATAAAATAATCATTAAAATACAATAAATGTCTTATAATTTAATGTCAATTATACCTCAATGAAGCTGAAAAAAAAAAAACTTTGTTTCATTATATAACCTGCTATCAACTCTACAGTTATCTCTGGGGCAAAAACCAAAATTTCTTTTCCCTTCAAATGAACTTTAATATGTGGTTAATGCTGACATGTTTTATTTGTTGTTGTTGTTTTTTAGAGAGGGAGGGCAGGAGGGGCAGAGGGAGAGAGAGTCTTAAGCAGATTCCACATCCGGCACAGAGCCTGACACGGGGCTTGATCTCACAAAACCCAAATCATGACCTGAGCTGAAATCAAGAGTTAGATGCTTAACTGACTGAGCCACCCAAGCACGCATGTTGACATGCTTTCTTAAGGCAGATGGTAATTACACAGATGGTTTGTTTTCTCTTTGCTTTGTTCAGGCATCTTCTGAGGAATAACATTTTTAGGCTGGTACAGTCACTGGTCAGACTTTTCCCTCATAAAGCAGTTCTCTATACTGATACTTATCCATAAACTCTCTGGAGATCAACAAACTCAAAAACTCTGTTATAAAAAACTTCTCTGACATCATCTAATGATGGTAATTTAGAAAAGCTTATTCTTTTACAAAAAATATTTATTTAGAAATGGAATCTATACTTTTCTGCCTTCATAAGCAGAATTCACTGTATTTATCCCCCTTCTTGACGACTCAGTCACTACTACGAAATGAGTATTTTGAGATGTGACACAAAATTTCCCTCAGAGGATCCTGAGATGTGTGACAAGCTGTCCTTAAATGTAAATAGCCCCCAGAATATTAAGTAAGCTTTTTGAGTTCATGCATCTGCTTTTTTTTAAAGTTTTCTACTTTAATTTTTCCCAGTCATTTCTCCTAGCTGTCATGTGTCCTATGTGTTTTAGTCTTACTTTTATTTGTTATTTATTATGTATTGACATTTTTCTTTAAACACTCTCCAACTCATTTCATAAAGGTAATACAGTAGCTTCAAACATAAGTTAAAAATAAAGTAAGCAATCAGAGGAAGAAGCCAGGGTAAGAGAAATAAGATTGGGCCAGGCATGAAGTTAGTGCTCTCAAAAATGCACACAAGAAGGTTTTGCACGTTTCGTTTCTGAGCTTTTTTAGTGACTCAGAGAAACAGATAAGCAACTGTGTGATTTATAAGGTCTGTAAGACAGAAGATAAAGCACTATTTAACTGGCAGCTTTTCATTTTTTTGTGGCCTCCCAAACCAGTTCCTCCTGCTTGTTGTAACAGGATCTTATTTGAGAGTAGATATGCCAGAGGACCACAGTATGTCCTGTAAACAGTGGAGCCTTAGAGCATACAGCGAGGGGCATCTATTTTGGAGGCTTGGAAGCCTTTGTTTGTTTGTTTGTTTGTTCCCTTCCTTCTGGCTAACTGTGTCAAGTCATTTCAGGATGAAGAAAAGTCATTCATCTGGGTTTCTGTCCTTACCTGGATCGCTGGTACAGAGAGAGTGGAAAGGAAGCTATCCCGCTTCTTTGGGAAAATACAAATTCCTACTCCAAGCCTGCTGTTTTTCCTGATGCAGCATTTTCACTCACTGGGTAGGAAGCATCCACATGTCTCCTCATTTTCATTTCTCTTTCTTAGCAAAGCTATGGGGTGGGTTATTAAACAGATGACCTGTACTGGAGGCCAGTATTTTTTGGTGCCCGTATGTTTTTTAGTAATCTATAAAGACTTTATGGATTAAGAACCAGATATGCTAAAAATAAGAATGAAATGTGAATACTTAACCCAATTTGTTAGGTTTGCATTAAACTGTAACTGTAGTTTTCTAAGTATTATAAACCTTGTAACAGATGTCAATGGGACCACCCTTTCAAATGTGCTTTACAAAGCTCTGAATGATGTTACTTGAAAGAAACATGGTGTCCCAAGAATCACAAATCATACTGAATCATTATGTCTTTTGGGAAAATGTCCCTTCTCCTACAAAACAAAAAACAAAACAAAACAAAAATCTCCCTCCTCCCGAAGTCCTGCCCTCCCAGTGACCCTCACCTGCAGCTCCCCCTGTCCTCTCGCTGCTGTCCTTGCTTCTTGCCAGCCAAGCACTCTGCTCCCTGGAAGGTCACCAAAGACTCCTGAGGCCAGATCCAAAGGCCTGTACCTATCAGTCTTTGGCCACCACCCTCTTGGCAGTTCTCTTCATTACCTTCCTCAACCATTTTATCCACACCAGCTGCTTCTGTAATCATTGTTCTTGACAAAATATTCCAAATCTACATCATAAAGCCCCGGTAGAAACTCCAAATTTGCGTTTGCATCGGTGCACTCTCCTCTGCCTTAACTCATTCAAAATCCACCTCCTCTGCCCTCCACAGATCACTCTCCCTCTTGGGCCTCAAAGATATCTCGGACTGTTCTCTCTTCTCCAATAAAGAAATCCTAGAAAATTCGCCATTTCTCCCATACTGTTTCTGGCTAGGACCACGATTTATGTATTTGTTATTTTGAACCTGAATTATCAGAAAAGCCAGATGACTGATCTCCCCATGTTTAATCACTTTGACTTAACCTCTATCATGAATGAACTGCTTTAGCAGCCTCTCAATATCTCCTAGAGCTGAACATATGTGTTCATTCCCACATATACACCCAACAAAAATACCTACCTGGGTCTACTAAAAGGCATGTGCTAGAATATATATAGCAGCAGTGTTTGAAATAAATGAATGGGATGGGTAAGCGAATTGTGGTGGTCACCCAGTGTAATCTATATACAGCAATAGGAATGTTTTACGACTCATGCAAAATAGAGAAGAATCTCACAAGGAATGCTGAGCAAAAGAAGCTACGTACAAAAGAGTGCATACTGCATGATTCCATTTATATCAAGTTCAAAACTGGGCAAACCAAACCTATGGGGTAAGAGGTCAGAAAAGCGTTACCCTTTGGTGGGCAGTGCCTGTTTTCTGGGGTAGTGGTAATGTTCTATTTCTTCATTTGGGTGCTGGTTCTACGGGTGCTTTC